CACATATTTTCTGTGCCCCTTTTTTCTTACACCTGAATCTTTTCCTGCACTGTTGTGCTGCATTTTGGTGAAATGTTGGGGTTTGAAGGTGGGTTCTGCTTATTTTTATTTAAGTTTTCCAGGTGTGGGAGTTTAAGGGGCAGTGATCATGTCGCAGAAAGTGAGAAACTGTTGGCAACTGCCTTCCTGCTAGTAAGTGCCAACTCCACCATTTAGGTGCCTTGGGACTGGGCATGGGTCTCTTGGCTTCACCAAGCTTAGCTATGACATGGGAAAGGTTGTACTGCTTGCATTCAAGGGCTATTAAAAATTTAAATGAGTTAGTGTGTTTGAGACAGCTTTATAACTGAAAAACAAAGACATATAAATGATTTGATTCCTAAGGTAAAACGACACAACACTATTTACGTTTTCCTCCTTACTCTAAGTAGGGGCAGATACAAAGTCATGTCACATAAAATTGCTGTTGCATCAATAAGTATTTTATAAATATCTGACTATTTAAAACACCTTTCTCAGGCATTCGCTCTGATGGGATGAGACCCAGGCACCAACAGCTCAAACCCCTCTCTCTCAGAGGGCCTGTGTTATTTCCCTCCGGCACCTTCTGTCCACCTGGCAGCAGCAGAGTTTGATCATTCACATCTAAGTGAAAAGTCCTGTAGTAAAAGTCTAAATCTAAAGCTAAATCTTCTAGAGTTTTTTTCCTGCTGTTGTAGAATCTTCTTAGAGAGCGTAACTAATTTTTTGTTGTTTATAAAAGATTATTTTGGACCTGGTATATTTCTACATATTTATTGTAACCTGAAACATAATTACAATGTGCATAACAATCCACATGTCGTGTGTTAAAATGTGCATTTTAATAAAGTACATACATTTAAAATATTATGCTTATAAGTTTTTTCTGTGAAACAGAATAGTTTTATATGACTTTATGAACAGCAAATATGATAGTGATTTAGTTTTAAATTTTTGGTCATCCTCCAGTCTTAGCAGACAAGATTTAAATTTGAAATTATTTTAAAGCAATGAAGGCCTAAATTATGAGTTTC